GGTCAACCGGTGGGTTGGGGTGGTTCCAGGTCACCCAATGGTTTAGGTCAAACGGTGGGTTGGGGTGGTTCCAGGTCACCCAGTGGTTTAGGTCAAACGGTGGGTTGGGGTGGTTCCAGGTCACCCAATTGTTTAGGTCAGCCAGTGGGTTGGGGTGGTTCCAGGTCACCCAATGGTTTAGGTCAACCGGTGGGTTGGGGTGGTTCTAGGTCACCCAATGGTTTAGGTCAGCCAGTGGGTTGGGGTGGTTCTCGGTCACCCAATGGTTTAGGTCAAACTGTGGGTTGGGGTGGTTCCAGGTCACCCAATGGTTTAGGTCAGCCAGTGGGTTGGGGTGGTTCTAGGTCACCCAATGGGAAGGGGTGATTTGGGTCAAACAATGGGTTGGGGTGGTTGTAGTTCAGCCAATGGGACCGAGTGGTTTAGGTTAACCAGTGGGCTGGGGTGGTTCTAGGTCACCCAATGGGATGGAGTAGTTTGGGTTCCCTAACGGTTTGGAGTCGTTCTAGGTCACCCAATGGGATGGGATGATTTGGGTCAACAAATGCCGTGGGGTGGTTTGAGGTCAGCCAAACAAACCATGTTTTAGGTCACCGAACATCTCCCACCCTTCACCAAAAGAAGCCCGTGTTCCAGGTCACCCAACTCTCACCCAAATAACCCCCCTGCTCTACGTCACTCAACCCCCTTCCCACACCTCACCTGAAAAACTCTCACGTTCTAGGTCACTCGTATCTCCCACCCCTTCCCCACGGAACTCCACGTTCTAGGTCACCCAACGTACCTGCCAGCAGCCCCACGCTGAGGTAGAGGTGGGACAGGCGGGTGGCAAAAGCCCCCAGGAGGAAACCCATCCCTGCCAGGAAGCCCCCGGCCATGACCACGGGGCGGGCGCCATAGCGGGTGCTCAGAGCGCTGCCCAAAGGCCCTAAGATGAGGAGGGGGAGTGGTTTCTGCCCCACTCCCCCCCCCCCCCCCCCCCCAGAGACCATCGCTGGTGAGGATGGGACCCCCCGATGCACCCATTGTTCCCATCTCCCCCACTATATGTCCCCCACTATCCCCCATGCCCCCCAACATTCCCCATTGTCCCCCATGCCCACCAGTGTTCCCTATTGTCCCCTCAATGTCCCTCCAATGCCCCTGATGTTCAGTGCCCCCAA